AGGTCCTCATTTTACCCACCTCGGAAGGATGGAAGGCTGAGTCAACCTTGAGCCACTGAGATTAGAACCGCCAAACTGCAGATAGCAGTCAGCTGAAGTGGCCTGCAGTACTGCACCCTAACCACTGCGCCACCTCGGCTCATAGGCTCTAGTCTAGTTACGATAGAATGTGATTGTAATCTGCAAGACTAGATTTACTTCCATAGCAATGTGCTTAATACTAGCATTGAATTATGTAGAACAAATTTAACTTACTCTGCGATCATCGACTGACTTGGCTGCAGCGATCATTCCTTCTAAACATTTTGAGACTATTGGAATAACTTTCCGCTCAGAATCTGCGAATCCTTTATAACATTCACTAAGTTTGATGGTTCGTCGCTCATCCATTTCTTGAAGGTGCTAAGTAATAAAGGAGAGTCTGAACATCTTTATAGTAACATTCCAAAATAGAGTGGAACATTGTCCTCCCTATAATTATCATTTGTACAATTTGTGGTGTTTTAATGAAACGTTAATGAACTAAATATACTAAATAATAATAAATGTATTATTAGTGGATTATTTAACCCAGCTCATTTCTACAAATGATGTTCACAGCTAATGCCTTCTAAAATCAATTAGAATTGGCAAGTACTAACTATATCATCTATAATTAAAGTTTTGATTTGTATCCCACATGCAACCTAAGACTGTGGAAATAAAAACAATAAAGAATAACTTACAGACTAAAACTTTTATTACAAAATAAACTCTGCTACTGTAAACGTTTATGCCATAATAAACAAAATGTTTCCAAAACATTTCAAATCTCACAAATAACACAAAGGTGGATGGGCATCCTTCACTTTTAGAATTATATCCTATATTTAAAACTAAATAGTAATTGCAATAGTAATTACATTTAAGTAAACAGAATCTAGAAAAATAAATAGTAAATTGTAGAAATTTACCTTCACACTCTTCAGTGACCAAATTCATTTAGATGAAAACATACTGGCAGTCTGTTGGAGGGGTTACTTGGAATCCTGACACTTACCTTATATATTTGAGGAATGACAATATAGAAATGCTTGTGCTGTTCACCATTGAAATTTTGGAGCTGTGCAGCATATTCATTTTTATTTTCATCAGCCATGTGTGTACGTAGGTTTAGTTGCTGCTTTGCCTAAAAAACGGGGACAGATCAGTAACGGCTTTAAATTATTTTTAAAAGAAACTCTTACTTAAGAGCAGGCTCATTATCTTTAATTCCCAGTGAGGTCTTTCTGTCCAACATATCCTCTCATTAACATTTGTAAATTATAGAAACTGTTTCTCAACTATGAAGTCAACCCCTATTTAAAAAAAGCTTTTGATTTTAACTGATAGTCAGTTGTTTTAAATTATGCCATTGTTTTGGTGTTACTTTCAACAAATGCAAACTTACAAAGGAAACTAAACAGCAATAGCAATAGCAGTTAAGACTTATATACCGCTTCATAGGGCTTTCAGCCCTCTCTAAGCGGTTTACAGAGCCAGCATATTGCCCCCAACAACAATCCGGGTCCTCATTTTAACCCACTCGGC